ACGACTGCGACCTAAGCAATGAAGTTGGTTCCAGGCCGATCACCGCTAATGAGAACTACTGAGGCGGATAATTTTCTGGAGATTTTACGCAAGCAGTGAAAGCTATGCTGAGTTAAGCATTTCAGTGTAATTGTTGTCGACCTCTCCCCAAAATGAAGCCACACAGTATCACCCGAGGGGTGCAGCTTGTCACTTATAATGCCGATAAGGCTACTCAAGTGTTGCTATACTGTAATGACATTACATCAGAAGCAATGTAAAGTTGAAGGCGACATCAAATATGATGCTTCAATGCATCATTTCTAAACAATTAAACAATCTTAAAGAAGGCAAATGAACCGAAGTCGTGAAAAATGACAAACGTGTGAGTAGACAAGGAAAGTAGGACTCGAACCATATTGCGAACAGATTATAAATTGTAAAATATTTGAATTAAATTGCAATCATACCAGATTCAGGCACTAACTACACAAAACTCATGCGTTTAGTCTAGCATAGTTTGTGCCGACATCCTCCAATGATAGCCGCACGAAAGAGGAAATAGCCAATCAGATCGGCAAGAAAGTGAGACCGCGAAGATTGAACGCTCTGAGTAATGAAACATTGGAGCACTTGGCTCAAGCATTAAAAAGCCACCAAAGCTAGAATAACCTGTAAGTGCAGAATGCTAACACTATCCAAATGGAATTATTTTATAGAAACCCATTTCAGTGATCCATCGCATTGTTCTTTTCCTTGATATGAGAGACAAGTGATTTGCCTAATTCCAACCTCGATTAAGGCAGCCCACAGTTGCCATACTTGAGTTTATTTTCGGAATTTAAGCGAAGGGATGTAAAACTGGAGAAGGGGAAAATAAAGGGTACCACAACACCCCCAAAACGTCAATGGCTATCATTGCAATTAACAGTTTTTTTGCCTTCAGAGGAACCTTCGCAGTCTACTGGAGTAATTACTTCGATTTGACAATGGCAGCATAGTGGAAAGCAGGAATGAGCCTTCTTTCAAATGCCTTTCCCACTTCCCTACCTTCAATGCAGGAAGGAATGCACAAATAGTCAAATAAATCAAATTAGGAAGGCAAACCCAATAACCTCGAGAGAAGTCGTCTATGTGGCAAGTTGATCCCCAAAACCCTCCTCATCCCCATTTATCTTAGACGCTGGTGACTCAGACGAACCGCCAATAAGAGCATTGGTAAATTCACTCAGGAGGAACACGACAAATTTCTAAAAGATGCTATCCACGAGAAACGCCTCACGCACGGAGGCCTGAAATGACCTGCAAATGAAAATGTACAACTACATTTGCATTCCATCAAAGTCCATTTGTTTACCATAAAACCAGGCGAACTTCAGAGTTAAAGTGTTATACCAACCAAAGATAAAAAGAACTTCTTTAAAGAAAGTCAGCTGTGCATTGAACTTATGCTTAGTTTTATTATACAAGTAGGTGTGCTAGTGGAGTTAATCTTGGCTCAAAGGCCCCATGTAGGTTTGTGTGGTTTTTGGAGATGGCTGAGACATCACATAGCAAATTGCTTTCCAATGTAACCCATGAGAGTGTCTTTGCTGATACAGATTTGACAATGTGGTCAAGTTCGAATAACAATAATGCAACAGAAAGTCGGCATGCAAATTGAACGAGTGCCAATTTAGGGGCCAAGAATAGATTGAAAACTGCCAAAATAAGGCACAAAGCAGGCCTATTTACGCTGGCTAAGGTGGTAGTGATGATTCGTAGTTCACAGCCTCGACATAGTGACAGAGTAGTTACCGAACCGTCTGGGTAATTTACAAATCGCATTAAATCAAACCCATCCTTCCCGTATGTGTGACGCTGCTTCTGTTGCCTGGGACGGTGTAGCAGACAGCATGTGACACGAGGGCACGTGCGCACTTGCACACGGTTGCCACGGTGACCGACGTCAAGGTCGCGGATCACGCATTTTTGCAAGTGTAAACCGTGTGTTCGTGGCGGGAGAAGCGACCCCCTCTGTGTATCTGTGCTCTTAAAGTAAACCAAAGGAACTAAAGTAAATGCATTTTTGGGATCAGATAGAGGTGGATTTTCTGCTTCCCAGCTATGAAGGTCGGGTTGGAAGTGTGTTTGGTTTCAAATTTTCTACAAAGCTCAAAATTTCAATGGATATCTCCAATGTAATTTATCAGTTATTATTAAAAAGAAGCGGTCTACCTTTCCCTAATTAAGGGAAATTGATGCCTTAATTAAATGCTTTTGAGACCTCAATGTGGGTGTTTTGTGGTACACTTTTTGCAAAGTAGCATCTTCTAATCCTATTAAAATACAACATTAAAGGAGGGAAGCTCTGATTGGTTTGAGGGAATTTCACCAATGTCATTGAGAAAACCCATCTTTAAATCGACACGACGCTGATTGGCCATCTCAAGGTCGCACACACGAAAAATTTTATAACAGAAGGTAACGAGGGCATATTTTCAGAGTGCGTCAAGCTTAAAGAAATTCTACAAAGAAAATAATTTTAAAGCAATACTTTAACAATATACTTTTACTGAGGCGACTGTAGCCAGTGTCTACCATCCCCAATTTCAATGAGTCCAGAATTCAAATAAAGTAAGATGATTGGATTGTTTTAGGGTCTTGTTTTTAACCAGATTGAACCCAAGCAGTTACCATAATTCGGGCTCGCTAGTTGCGGAACTGAGCTGAGTCGATCCAAAAGAGTATTCACACCTTCGCACGCTGATTGGTTCCGCCAAGGTCAGCACCACTTTAGTTTGCCCTGAATATGGGAATAACTATACAGGGAAATACCTGGATCACGATTTGGTTCACTGTGCTTTCGTTTCAATCAAAAAGTGTTTCCAACCAAGAGTATTAAAAAATGGACCATATACTAGTTCGACTTATAATTGCCTTCCTCTTATGCTTGCTCACTTAGCAAATCGTTCATCAGTTAAATTTCATGGTATTTATGCCACAACAACCAATTTTATTGTTACTAAGCCAGGAAACTATTTTAAATAATAAACCATGTATTCTGTTTATGAGGAGCGAGTGGTGGTCTCAATATTCTTGTTCGACATAGGAACATGTGCGCGGAATAGAAAATGACGGTGATAGAGATGGAGAAAGCTAATCGAAGCAGTGTACGTGACGTCAGGAAGGGGGAGAGGGAGGAAGGTGGACTACAACCTTGAGCTCCACTGACCTTGATAACGCAACCCATCATTGGGCCATCTGGCCTACCTTTGACCACACACAAGGATGAAAATTCAAAGTCGACCAATAGAGTGAGCCAGCATGATAATCGAAGAAACACCGAGGAAAGTGTAATCAATTGATTGCTTCTAGAAGGTCCACATGAGCAACCGTCTTAGCAACGAGACAGAAGCAAAAACGAAGTTTCAAACCAATCACAGATAAGATCAGAAGCGTGAATCAAATGCATCAGATGAAAAAGGAAGTCCAAATTTTGCTGTCAGTTTGTGAAATTGTCAAGTAAGAATTCCGACTGTCAAGTGGGTTCTGCTCAGCCCATTGATACAGAAAGGGTAGAAAGTACTTTGTTCAAACCAAAACTCAGTACCTTGTTTACGTTTGCCCAGATTAAAAAAGAACCCCAAAAATCCAAAAGCTCTGGAACCTTTGAAACGATTCTCTTTTTGACAAAAAGTACGGCAAATTCAAATCCTCCGATGGACACACCGTAAAAAGCTAATGAAGCTGCTGTGTAAAGATTCCTTCACAAGCATTTAGCAGATTTCACTCAAAACATTCGCCCATAACGTTAACATCCCCATTCCAAAGCCACATTTGGAGAATCTCGTAGCTCGAGTTTTTTTTGTCAGTGGAGAGGAGAGTGAAGAAAAGGAAACAGGTGAAGAAACAGAAAGGACGACCATTCAGGAAGTAATTATAAACACAAATTTTCCTTCAAAGAAGTGATTACGCACATTCAAAGTAAAAGAGTTGTTAAAATGAGGATGCAACTACTTCAACTTCACTCGTAAACATTTGGAAGGATGAAAGGTAGGCCAGAAAATGTTCCTCAACCAGGTGGAGAGTAATAAATGACTGCAAATGTCACCCTCGTATTATTCATTTGATATGTTAAAAGTTCTGCCGCCCCCATACTCCAAAGCCTCTCCAAAAAAGAGACATGACAGATGCTGCGATGAGGCCTGAAAGTTCTCACCAATTGGAGAGGTTAGACATCGACCCATCTGACAGGCAAAAATTAGCCTTCCAATTGGTCGAAGGTCTACCAAGCCGCCATTCCCGATTTCTCAGGCTGGAGTGCGAATTACCCTCATTTTATATCTTAGGTGACTTCAACTTGCTTAAAATATAAACGAGGGCTAACATCATTGGTGAGAGTAACGCAATTAATTCCTGGAAGCATTAAGGGAGAAAGAAGGTGCGTTAGCTGGTTTTCGTGCCAGTCACACAGGGAGTGGAAAGGACTACTTATGAGTAAAAATAATCATGAAAAAGAATCACCATCAAAGGCTCTTTGGAATCCTGACTCAAAGCGGGTCTGAGTCTGTGAAGAAAAGGAGACAGAGGGGAATGTGAGATTACTGACCTGTCTCAGATTCAACCTAGAGTTCTGAAACACTAAAGCTGATTGAGAAAATAGGCAGTGAAGGATCAGGGCTAGTTTGTGTAAGCTCCAGATCTGGTGACGAGTTATTCATCGTATGTCTCTGGAACCTTCAAAATCGAAACTCAGGCACAGAGTTCCATTCTTGGGTCTGAAACACCTCTATGGGTAATTGTTTCTTCGAACCTCATTCGAATTGCAGAACCTGCTTACCACTTAACAAACATGTGGCAAACGTCTTCTAGACCCAAAGACAACAGATATTGGTAATTAAGGTCTTGACAATCTGGTCTCTAGGACTCTCCGAGTTCGAACTCGAAGGCACATAGAGAACCCATTAATAAATAATCAACAATGGAATCAAGAGGTTACCACAATGGTTCTACATTCTCAGAAGATAGAGCCAGGCTGGTTAGGTGGAACCAGGACGCATCAATATGTGGGGGATGGGTTTATTTGCAATTAATGCAGAACTTACCATGGACCCAAAGGTACCAGGGGCATCATGGAGGAGAGGCAGGTCGGGAGTGGTATCGTCCTTGGCCTCGGAGAGAGCGAGAGCGCTGTCCTGACCCTCCGAAGTCATTGAGTGAAGGGAGGTGCTGCCCACTGCACCAAACTCGCATATAACTGTCGGTGTGCCACCACTGTTGAAGGCTGAGTCCTGACCACCTCCACCTTGGCCTCGACAACAGCAACCGCAACTGCAGGAAGAGAATGAAGGGCAAAAACTACAGTAACACACCATTAAACTATCCTTAAATAAGTGTGAAAAAATGTGGACTCTTCGATCTCATCGAGTTCCGCTCTTATCTTTTCACAATGATGAGCTCCCCATAGCAATGCTTTTTTATATTTCCAGGAGCGACTAGGAGTACTGCAGTGATTAAAGTGGCTAGTGGCTACCATCTATGAGGTTCTGATAAAGGATAGTTGCTGTGCCTGACTCGTAAACAATTTCTCGGTGAGTATTAATGTTCTGACTTCCGCGAAATGGAGCTTTGATTAACTAACGCTGGTTGTTTTTAAACAAAAGAAGACTCGTCGGAACATATCACGATCACTTTATCTCCCCAGTTTGCATCATGACAGAGGAAACAGGTGCTAAATAGGAGGAGGGTTGTGGCAGCCTAGACGGCCATACCTACAGCCGCTTAGCAACTTTATTTTTTTCATAATAACTCGCCCCCTAGTGATTTGAGACTCGTTGTATCACTTAACTGCGAAAATTTGACAGTTTATACAACGACCGATGACAAGGAGTCGACTAAACAACTTCGCAACAAGCGTCATACGTTTAATACCAAAAAACCATGCCCGATAAACTGATCAAAATGTCAAAAGAAAACAGAAGTTTATTGACGCATCTCATGGCCATAGGAATGCTTTCATTCGTTGTGCCAATGAATGAATGGATAAGTAAGCTGATTCGACAGAAAAAAAGAGATTTAAATGATGGCCAAAGGAAACAGCACCAGAGGGGGATGTTAGTAAAGCGAAAGTCAACAAGTCTGGAGAGAAGTCAGATCAACATGGCTGGACGTTTGACATTCCGGCAACAACCCTTTTAGATTGGCCTTGACAACCAAGGCATATTTCAGAAAGCAAACTTATGGGGAAATCGGGGACTTCTACTTCACTAACTACGCCTATTAAGAGCATTCTGTGAACGCTTCCATTTTTTCCCAGCCGAGGTAACTTACTTGTCGCAACACCTTCGTCCATTTTCTCTGAGGCACATGAACAGGACAGGAGGAGTAAGCACGCGATGGAAAAACGTGTTTGCATACTGAAAAATTTCCTCCTATCCTTGCCGAAGCACAGTCGACCCCCTGACCCATCGAAAATTCAATTCCAGGACGGAAAACACGATTGAATTAACTCCATTAACCTTCCATTCACATTGCAGCATAGCCGTATTGGTTGAAAGGGGTTGCAATGGTGAAGAGCTGACCAAAAGTAGGGGAAATTGTGCCGTCTTGCGACAAGTCGGCCTCATTCAAGACTAACTTCTCTAAGGCAAGTTAGCAACTACAATGAGTAGAGATAATCATTTTTCACTGGCGGATGAAGCTTAGACAACAGTCCAACAAGATCTCAGTGCCGTTTCAACCGTTTCGTCAAGCTAAAATAATCGCCATTCCAGTTTTTAGAGAGAACCATTAATTACTTCATGATGATTAGGTCCTGAAGAAATCAAGGATGAGATCGTCAACTCACAGAGGAAATTGAAGACTATTGTTGTGGCATATTTGTCAGTGAGGTATGGGGAGGAGAAAAGGGAAGGGGAATATCTTATACTCTGGACAAATCTCTGGTCAGGTACTGTGGATAGAACAGAAACCCTCACGACGAAACTGTTTCATCGGACTCAACTAATCTAAGCACTGCTGAGTCGTCTCGATATCAATCTCCAAGCACGATGTTGAATCAGGTGAATCAAATTTACCTGCAAGGAAAATCAAAGGCTTCGATTTCTCCACGACTGCCACCGTTTGATGGAATGCAGACGGGTGCGGAGGTGGAGCAGCCCGAGACAGAGGTAGCGGTGGTGGTAGCAGCAGCAACGGCGACAGGAGTGGAAGATTGTTGTGATGGTGGAGGCAAGGTGGGAGCGCCACGAGGACTGGCAAGGGGTGAGACGGTCACCACACCCAGTGGGTCATCATCAAACAGCCCTGAACCCCGTTTGGCGGCTGTTGGTGTCGATGTAGTGCCTACCATTGCCTGTTGATTCGAGAGTTGCATCTGACGTAGGAGACAGCTCAACGGCGATTGACCAAAGTCTGGTAGAATGGAGGAGCAGGTGATTTGATTCTTCTTACTTCTTCCAGTCGAACATTAAATGGTGAATCAAGATGGTAGACAAGAGATAGTTGATGCAACAGAGGACAAGGTGCGCTGTCCAATACAACTACATGTTTTAAAATATGAAAAGTGAAAATTTCCTGGCGATATGGAAAAAAACGGTTTTGAAGTAGCTTTAGGTGAAAGATAATTGAAAAAAGAAAGCAAGGATTGCATTCCAGCATCCTTTTGTGGTTTCTTAACTCTCTTCTCTTGCAAAAGAAAAAAAGAAGTTTATTTTGCAAGGCGCATAGAGGACGGTTCGACAAACCAAGAAAATGAGGTACCGCTTGAATTTGCAGCAAAAGGATGACGTTTTGGATATAATTACACAATGTCTGCACTCTCTGTGGCCCGATTACCCCTTTAGTGTCGAAATAGCCTGCTGCCCATTGTCACCCACCAGCGGCACTCCAGGCCTCCCTTGCTTCGATGATTAATCCGGTACCCGGCCACTGCCTTTGAATATCTTCCTAGATGACTCAGGCGCTAGCAAACATCATTATGCTGGACGATGTGCCACTAACAAGCATCATCGACTTTCAAAGCATCCCTCCTCAATATAAGAAGCAAATTAGCTGCCTTTTTGGGTGTTGAGAATTGAAATTGCCTTTCGAAAATTCCTTGGAAAAAGTTAAGTTTCAAATGCTAGTACTCTTTCCAATTATGAGTTGATCATGTCGCACAAATTTGTGGCGAATGATTAAACAACTTCAACACGTACCATGAAGAGTAAAAAGTCGATCAATAGTTTTTTTTCTTACAAATCTCAGAAATCTCTTTGAAGTTGCAACATCCCAAGGGGAGGATACGTGTGCACCACCGTGGCAGCAAAAAATGTAGCATGCATAACGATCTGTGGGTTGTTCCGTCTGCTCGGCACATGCACCCATCAAAAAAAGGCAGGTTGCACACTTTTTAAGAAAACCTCACCACTGCCAATCAGATCAAAAAACACTGCTTGCAAAACCTTTAAAATTTTGTACCTGCTAAAGCTGGAACGCCAGGAAGTATGAAACCTGACTAAAACTCTTTAATCCACAAAACTCTGAGAAGTGCTTCGAATGCAATTGGAGAGTAACAATTTTTAATGACCGGAAGCTAAGACTAAATAATTTGCCATCTCAATTAGTTAACTTGGAGGTAGTCTGTTGGGAGAATTACGGCTATCTGCTTTGATAAAGCAAAATTCTACAAGGAGAAACTGTCAGTTCTCGTTTTTCGCGATTTCGGTTATTCCCTGAGTGAGTCAGGAGCATGCATGTGAGAAGCATGCTCGTTTCTCATTGGTTAGCCCATTATTATTGATGGGTGGTGAGCGGGGCTAGTTGAGAAGGCACCTGAGTAGCTAACCAATTGGATTCAAAAGATATATTTTAGATAAACTGTAATTTACAAACCAAAAATGTGTGCATTTTGCTAAGTGTCGCTACCCAAATTAGCGAAATAAACAAATCAGCCAGCCTTGTAAACTAATGAGCCGTTCATCAAGGGGGATGTAGGGGGCGATGGGGTCAGTTAACAAGACTAGTTTATCTACCATGAGATAAACTTCGTAAGTGTTAAAATAAAACTAACCACACTTAAATAATGCCTTCTTTTCCACATAGCTAACTCCCAATGCACACCATGTATTCCTTGATAAGTCTTAGAGCTATGTCAAATCAATGCACCATCGTTTCTAACCTTTAATAACTTGGTGTTGATGCGACTCTTCAGGGCTCGTGCTAACCGTAAGCTGAGTTCGTAACTCTTCAGTGACAAGAGAATTGAGGTACTCATTATCCGGGTGGTGTAAATGATGCTGCTGCTGTTGACGGTCGCCAACTTCGCCACCAGCCCACCAAGGCGAGAGGCTCTTGAAGGCCGTTGGCATGCTAGAAGAAATAGATGAGGAGGAAGAGGGCGTGACCGACTGTGGTGAGCACTTGCCAAGGCTACGAACACCTCCGGTGCGTTGTTGCTGTTGCTGCTGTCCTGGTTGCTGGTTGGTAAGGGATGAAGAGGAAGAGGACAACGGAGTTGTAAATCCTCGTGCGTAGCTCTCCAACAGGGATCCACAGCTTTCCACTGAAAGGAGGAAGTAGAAGGGGGAAAAGACATAAAGGTAATTTTAATCAACTACTAGAGACTTGGCCTGAAGCTGTCAAACCTATTCTACTAAGTAACTGCCTTTAAGAACAGAAGATTAGGTCACTGGCTCAATTCAAAGTGAAGGATTACAAGGCCACATTCTACAATTTGACAAAGTGCCGCGAACAAGAATCCGAAATTAATTGTTGTACTTCCTGTTGTGGTAGAAGAAAAGTAAATTTCCTCATCTAATACGCCAACGCTTCCTTGGAATGCTAACGAAATAAGTCCCAAAATATTAACTATATTTATTGTGCCAGATAAGTTAGGTATTCAGTGTAGGCATTGGTGTAGAATTGACACCAAGAGGATGGAATTAAGTGTGGTTGATACGCCATACGCGTGATCATGATTATGCCTGTGCAAAATAAGTCCCCACATTTGGCTTCAATTACCAATAATACAGTTAAAATAAAAAAATTACTGGCGGCCATCTTGAATGGCGTTTCTTGCCTTTAATGCGTAAGAAAAAAGGAGACTGGCTGATGCTCTACGTAGAGGTCGCCAAAGGAAACTTCGTGCTCCAATTTCGGTTTAAAAAATTGTGAAGAATGTCATATTTATTGTGGTTTGGTTACTTTTGATTAAGCAATCGATGCTTCCCCCTCCTTCAAGGTAGGGGGAGAAGAATAGGGGGAGGGGGAGAAGGAGGAGAGGAAGAGAAAAGGAAGAAGGAGTGGAGAAGATTCCAAAAAAGTGACGGTAAAAATTTAACCAAGGAACGGAGACATCTCATCTAGGTCACTAATGGCAGTAGAGACCTTTGAATATAAAAAAAAGGTTCCCATTAGAATTGTGACCATGTAAGGGTGGCAAATGGAGAACGAATTCGCAGCTAAGCGGAAGGCATAACCAGGATCAAGCATCAATTACAGGGCCAAGCGTGTGAAAATATTTTTATGCGTTCACTCGATCGCAACCGTGACAATCTATGAAGAGAGCAAATTGAAAGGCTGGCTTGTGTTAAACTTTTGAATCTCCTAAAGTGATCACGTGAGTCGACTGTTTTGAAGTTAGCTGCTTGAACGGATTGGTTAGCCGAGAGAAGGGAAAGAGGAATGCAATCTCGGCAGATGCGCGATTTTGAGCGACTTCAGTGCGCTTCCCTTCTTGTGGAACGGATCAACCGGCACCATTCCGTCGTGCATAACATTTGGATTGGGTAGAAGCACCTACTTTTCCATTAATACTGAGTTAAATTTGGACATGTAAGTCATTCTTTCCTCTACCAAGACCGGATCAAGTGCATTCAGTTATCAAGTTATCCACACCCATCCCAACACACGAGAAAGCGGAAGGATGAATATAACTGCTCGGTTAAGTCCTAACACTCCACCAGATCTTTGGTGCTATCACTATCAACGCATTGTAAATCGAATTTCTTATGACCAAAGTATTGGGATGTGTTTGGACCCTCGCCCCCGATCGTTGTCTCTGCAGTCCCAACTGCACGCTGTCTTGCTTGGACGTAAGTCGATCGTCACCGTTTAATTACAACAGGCAATTTGCGTTCATTTCAGTCATCAACTAGTGAGGCACGTGTGGCCAATTAGCGTCAATCAGCCTTCATCAGTTTCGATCATTCATGCGTCATAATTGCCGTTGTTTTTGTTGTTGTTTTTGTTGCTTGGATGCCGCATCAGCGCAATCTTTTGATCTTGAAAAGTTGTTTATTTCCCCATACAAATTATTTATGGTTTGTCTGATATTCTGTTTAACGGAAGGGCTCCAAGTAGACACATGCACCCTTTCAAAAGATGCTTGGTGTCTGGTGCTGTCATAAAGGTATGTCTAGACTTAAAAGGCAAGATAGAATGACGTTCTTTTCACGATGGAAAGAAAAGTGAACAACCATGCCTTTTTGTTGGTAAAAGGGTGAACGAAAGCAATAAATTGCCAATCTTTCAGTGCCAATAGAATTCCTAGTTTTAAGCATAATTTTATGCATTTAAATTTAATTCACGAAACCAAATCCTGTTTACAAAACTTTAGAACCAAGCACGTTGTAGTAGTGTACAAGGTGAGTAAGTTCAGAAAAAAAAGGCCTGCAAAAATACGCGGTCTAAGTTCCACCCCAGAAAAATAACTAAATAGCCAAGGGAGACATCAATATGGGACAAAACTCCAAAATAACCACGCCTGACCTTGACCGAGACTTTTGATTGGTTTATCGTGGTTGCGCGCAGAACGACAATAATTTCATGCTCTATATTTGCTATTACATAGCTTTACAGAGAAATAACTGTTACAGTGAACGAATAAGAACTGACAATCTCCTAATGAGTAAACTGGGATTCGTTTTCACTGAATTTTCACCCCACCAAACATTGTGCTACTTGGTATACTGAATATTTCACGTCGGGAATAACGTTGATTAATTTAATTTATCCAAATGTTCGAACCTCCCAATTTTTTCATCCTTCATGAACGCCCTACATTCTGGCAGGATGAGGTTCACAGTCTTACAGAGAAACTCGTAACAAAGCTAGTTGCAGAACTTTGTGCTTTACTACCTGCATTCCGAGATGAGAACTAGACTGTCTTAAGAAATGAAAGCAAATTACTTCAGAACATTCGAACAGTCCATAAACGCCAACTGATAAATTGACTCACATCTCATTCGCGGGAATTTATTTGCGTCTACCGACACCTTTCTTCGAGCCGTTGAACCTTGCTGTTGTGTAGTCGCAGAAGCTGTAGCTGCAGTGCTAGTGGTGACTGCACCACCAGTGGCCGTCGTTCTATTTGCTGTGCTGAATGCTCCACGGCCAAAGGCGCCAATCAGAGGTGAGAAGAGAGGGAAATGTGGGAGCATCGACGGTTGAGCCGGTGGTGCAGACGCTCCTGCCACTGTCGTTGATGAAGGTGGTGGTGTGGTCTCCTGAAGATCAAATGTGGCACAACCAAAAGCCCCGCCATCGGCTGATCCGGCTGTACCACCGCTGCGGTGACGGATCCGCAGTTTATGGCCACCTGGAGGGGAAGAGTAGGTAAATGGTGAAATGCCTGTAAAGGATTGACACAAGAATATATGAAGTACTAGCTTTTCAGCAGAATTGATAGATGTGGATCTTCGAGGAAACGAAGTACTACACTTCTGATTTTAAAATAGCAAGTATAGCAAAGCCTTTCACAATAGTGGCAAGAATAATAATGTCTAGCTTCAGGTTCGTTTACCCCGTAACAAGTACAGTGACAGCGCGGCGCTACAATGGTAGTGGGGTTAGGCAACTCCTCATTTCAATCGACTTGAGGCGAGGGAGAGCCATCTGATACAGGCGGTCTCAATAAAACAATCACATAATACGGTTCACATTTGGCAGCTTCTTCAGTGTCAAACTTAGTGATGGGTCAAAGTTAGATGTAAATAAATAAAAGTTGTCCACAACGTAGGTGTCTCTTTCACTACAAGTTATGCTTCCGTTGTGCGGCATTTTCCTTAGGCCATAACAGTAGCCTCTCAACTCCTCTGCATGCCTGCGAAACGGAGTACTTTGGTTTGTTAAGCCACCAGCTAAGAATTGGGATGATGACTCCGTAAAAAGCAGGACTGAGGCGACATAGATATAAGATGGAATTGTCCAGACAGTTGAAGGCGATCTGTTAAAAAAGATCGCTTCATTCAACTGTCGCTAACAAGCGCGCCAAGACACCTTAGACATTCCGGTTTAAAAAATTCCCACTCAAAAGCGTCCGCGTTAGTGTTATTAAGAATATGGGCAACTACGATGTACGAAATGCCTTTGATGTTTTCAGTCAGAGAGCTCAAGGAACGTCTAATCTCGGAGACTTGCTTGTCTGTGATCTTAGTATTCTAATGAAAAATGCTAAGCAATGAATCTCATCAGTTTTACCTTACAAACAAAACACCTAATTTCAGACAAAATAAGCCTTAACGACGTTTCAAGTTTTACCCGTCAACCACCCCTATTAGGAGATGTTAATCTAGAAAGGCGCCTAAGTCGGTGGGTTTGGATGCGCGCTGACGGGGGGAGGATACATGAAATAGCCCTTTGTAAGGAAGAGCAATAAAGTATTTAAAACCAATTCACTGGCAAAAACCTTGAAATTGGCCAATCAAAATGCCGAGAGTGTTTAGAATAAGTAACATTGAATTTTGAGAGGGAAAGGGGGGAAGAGAGGGTGGTAAGTAATCAGCTCATGGATAAAGTAGCTTTGCTCAGAAAGGCGAACGCCCACGCAAAAGTGTAGAAGTTGTTTCCCTAGTCCATTTGTCGTTAGGAGAATTGCATCATCAAGGTGGATTTGGGCCAAATTCAAACTTGAATTTAAAGAACGTATAACCTTATGAAGGTAGTGGTGAAGAAACCAGATAAAAGTGCCGAAGATTGCAGTCTGGTAGGCGTTCACTATTCATCAATGCAGGAAGTGGGAGAGGAGGGAAAACAACACAAATATGCTGTGTATGAAGAAGGAAATCCCAAACAACGCAGAAGACTGTGAAAGTTCCCAAAGGGGCAAGACTGTGGTGTATCTGATAAAATGTGTTCATCGACAGAACATCAACTAACAGCTTCTTTTAAACCTACCAGTAGGCAAAATCCCAAGCTACAGAAAACATTGGACCAGCATCAGTAAGCAGGAACGGAGTTATTGTGACTCCGTGCAACAGCAATGGTCCTTGGAATCTGCTATCTCTCTGCTATCAGCTCAGGTCATACTTTCAAATGCGAGGTGACCATTGCATCACACTCTTATCATTTCCATGACTATATCAAACATACATTGCACGATACTACTTAACCAAAGTTTCTTATTAGTAAGTAGTTTCACTATTTGCTAATAAGAAATTGGCCTGATCAACGTTTTACTAACCAACCTTATTTAATGAGCTTATCTCAGACTTTTTTTTAATGAGCAACTCATTTAATAGCGCACGATTGATCTTGGTACACAAAGGTAAGCGATAGCATAGCTAATGTAAAGCTGAGGTCAGGAAGAATTCTAGCGGAGAGGGTGAATAGGTGTTTTTTTCCTGCAACCGAGAAGAAATAAAACGTATTTGTGATTCATACGTTCTTTGGCAACCAAAAGCCATACCATAAAGCCATAATGATGATCTTCCGCGACCAATAGGAGGACACAATTAGGGAGGGTTTGCACAAAAGATAGCGTCTTCTGAAAACTTCGATACGTCAGTTGCTCTCCATGCATGTTCAAGAAGAGGCAATGGGTAAACCCCTGCCCGTCAGTGAACTAGGAAGGAGTTTGCAGCACACTTGAGACAGGTTGATGACGCAGCTGTAAGACGTTTTATCTATGTCGAATAAAAGAGACACTAAAAAGAAACCCAAAGCACATTTTGTCTTAAGAAGACGGTACCAAGAGAGATGTGACAACGACCGAGCGGTTGCGGCGCTGACCTCCATCCCCTAGCTCTGATGCCCCGTCCACTGAGATGAACGAAAGCGGCATCGGCAGTAGGAGACCAGAAGAACTGCCGCCTCTTAATCAAAGAGGGGTTAGTAAACCGGGCGATTATGGTAAACATTGGTGCACTCATAAAAGTGGGTTACAATTCACGTGTTTACCCGACATCCAAAGGTCACAACCACAAAGGATGATGATGGTGATAGACCTCTTCGATAAACAAGCAAAAGGAGACATCTGAAAACTCATCAGGACTTCGGCTCCATACAATGTCCAAAAATAGGCATCACATTTTAATCCACCTACATAACTTCAATTATCACTCAACTCGTAAATACAAATTTGTTCTACGCAAACTAAAAACCACCAATGACAGGCCTCAACACCCTGAAACAGGATGCGTACCGACCGCGTCCACTTCAATGGGGCTCCCACGTATGCGAGAGAAAATGGAAGTGAAAATAAATCACACAGATAAACTGTTTGGACCCCAGTAGAATGACTCAGGAGAAAGGCATTTACACATGGAAGATTTCGGCATCCTTGGGTCCACTAAGTAGTCATCTGGCGAATACTGACCCACCCAATATTACCATTCCTCAAATGTCGAAAAAAGTGGCGATGTAAATCAGGGAAAGAGACTAAAAGAGACCATCGACGCTGGAAGGCAACCCTAAAAGCGCTTACTAGTCAAATTCTACATTGCATACATTAGCAATCGACATTGTGTCATTAAAAATAGCATAAGGCGTTGTAAAGCAAATCAACACTCAAGCAATCATGTCCAAGTCTACTTAAATGATTTCAGTTGTGCATTAATGGAACTTTGGACTCTCGCTATACTAACTGGGATGGGACTTTTGGAACCGCTTCCACTTGCTAACTGCTAGGAAATCCTTGAGAAACAGGACCGTATATCATCCTTCCGGAGGATCATTTAGGGCATAAGTTTAAACCTCATCAATTGGAACTTGTATTTGTGTCAATCTGGAATCAAACTCCACGGAACCCAACTTAACCTCTCCTCAGAAAAAAAACATGTAATGGAGATAAGGCGTCGCCATTATCCCTTGCCACTCCATCGAGAAAATGGGAGGAGCTTCGGGATTTTAAGGCGGAGCAGAGTAGAACTGATAAACAACTACACCCTATTCTATTAACGACGGCGTTCGTCTCGGACAAGTTGAATGGCAAAAGGAATGAGCAAGGGTAACAAAATCGGACTTTCGCAAACATTTCAGAAAAAAATTTCCACGTTGAAAGTGGAATTTTCCCTCCTTCTTTCTGCTTGTGACTAGGAGGGAGGACTGGTAACTCAGAGATGTGCCTATCAAACGTGCCATGATTGTACGCTATCAAGCATTAAGACGCTCTCTGAGGCCATTACCTCAGCCACAAGATTCAAAAAAGGCCGAGATTGTTTTACTCCCCATCCATCAAAAGGCGTGCCTTTATGGCCATTTTGTACTTAAAATAGCCAGCGCAAGAACCACGAAGAAAGGCTAAAGCTTCAAGGTTTTGTGTGTACTAGAGTGCAAAGACCACAAGATGCCTGTCAGTCAGACATTTGAAGAGTTCAACAATTCAATGACGATCGACCGTGGATGTGTCGGTGACGTCCCAGATGAGGTGGTTCACATCTCACTCGTTCGCCTCTAACACTTAGAACAAGCAACTTCTGACCAGATTTCGCGAGAGTGCGCAAGAGCGAGTGCTTCCAGTCAGAATATCAACTAAGTTCCCCACTTTCAGCCGCACTAGCAACCAACTCCGTGGCGAAGCTGCTCTCCCGAGGTGTGTTAAACATCGCAGTAGGCGTATTAATATAAATAAAATCAACGTACATAAATGTCTTGGATTGATGTAAGCTTTTTGATAGACTCTGAAGCCTCAACTTGACTCACAGGTCCATCGTAAGTCTAGATTTGCATATTCAGTAACTCTTGGAAAAATAATCCAATGTCGCCGTAAACCGCAACGCCGTTATCAGCAGGAGGGATCGTCTAACTTGCCTACTTCTTTAATCCCTCGCCGCAAAAGGCAGTTAGGTGAAAGGAGACATGGGCACACAATTTTTGCTCAAATTTTAAGCGTTCGATCTGCACGTGTCAAGGAGGTGGTGTGTTGTTGTGTTCATTTAAGAGGCAACAAAAGGCAGGTGTGCATGCACGAACCCGAAGTGATTGAGAACATGCTTTCACCATTGCCACTGCAGCACACGGTCACAATGCGCCAGACACCCCTGGAGGAAAAGAACTGGAATGTGACTGCAACCACAAAAACCATACTGTCATCATGGCTTTCGGATAGAGAACTAACTGTCGTCAACCCGACTGCACTTGCCACGATGAGGCCACTTACAAGGTGAACAGACAGTAAAAAAACAGGTCAGGGTCAGGTCCAAGACTAAATGGCAAAATTGGC